AACAGCTCAAAAATAAAGCTCACATCGTACAGTCACACACATACACCTGTGAGTGCAGTAAAACCAAACTCTATGATGTTTATTGCATTGATAATTACAACATAGAGTCTAAGAGTTTAAGTGTAAGAGTACAGCACTTTCCCTTAAAGCATTGCGGCCAACATAATACTCTGCACCTCTATGTGTATATAGTGTCGCCATCTACTGGGAAACACCGGAAATGCATGACAAATAAAACATAAACAAGGTTTATTACTGTAATTTATTCCAGTTCTTTGGGCCGGATTAAAAGGTTTAAAGGGCCGCATACGACCCCCGGGCCGTAGTTTGCCCACCCCTGCTCTAGACGCTTAAAGGCACAACTGGCACTTGTCTCTAAAAGCAAAAACATCCAGTAGATTTAGACTGTGTGTCATGTGTTGCTTGGCAGAAAACTGCATCAGAGCTTTTATAAACGCTCGTGCGTCTGTGCTTAAACCAGTTTGATGTGATGCAGCAGAGGGAGTTTCTAGGTGAGTTAGAATGAGATTATTACTTCTGTATTCTCAATAACTGCACTTTGACTACATTGAATACTTGCATTTTCTTATTCTTAAACAGTTTGCTTGTATTTTGTGGTTATATTTTGTATTTTTAGTCTGCTGGAGCTTTTATGGGAATGTTTGTGTAACTCAGGATTAACATGTAACGTGTCTCCAGTTTATCTTCAGTAAATCTTTAAGAATATAAAAGTCCTTCAGTCTAACGTGACTTATTTTTTTAAATCTGCTGAGTGGAACTAAGCAGCAAAGTAAAAGTAAAATGTTTCTGTGTAGAGACCAACAGGGCAGTGTTTAATTAAATTTGTTTTCTCAGACTTAAATTGTGCATCTATATTTAACAGAATGTAAAAAACAGAAGGAGCTGATACCAGAAATTAATATCACAGTTTTAAAATGTTTGGAGTTTATTTTTAGAAAGACTGTGACTTACAGTAAACTCTGTTTGTGTTTCTTTGTATTGGAATGTGGTCGGACAAGATCTAAGCGACAAAGTCCACGATGACATGGGGAAAGATTGAACCAGGACTAAACCAGGACTGAACCAGGACTAAACCAGGACTAAACCAGGACTGAACCAGGACTAAACCAGAACTGAACCAGGACTAAAGATGGCAGAGTCCAGGCTGTTTGAGATGCTGGAGAGACAGGAGACGCTGCTAAAAAAGAAAGAATATGTCAGACTGTGGACTGTGGTGTGAGTGGCTGGTGCAGCACAGGTTGTGATTTAATCCTTTTTTCCTGAAGTCGTCCACAGAGACTGTCTCTCATGTCTGCAAATCAAAACCCGAGGATCTCGTCACACAGACCCAGGTCAGATTTTATTTATTTATTTATTTATTTTTACCTTCTCTTTATAATTGTTTGTTACATTTCAGTCTGTGATTTCAACTGTCGTCTGAAAATGCTTTAGATTAAGTAACTGGTGTAAAACATGTTTTAAAGTCAGACTTGGTGTTCTCCTGTCAGACTGAAAGAACAAACAGAATGAACATGAGTGTAGTGTGAACATGTGGAGAACATCTGTCCAGTCAGGGGCAGCAGTCGAGTCACACTCAGGTCCTCATCGTTCAAGTCACTTTGGACTGGTCTGAGTCGAGTCTTTAGGTCCCTCAGTCGAGTCTTTAGGTCCCTCAGTCGAGTCTTTAGGTCCTCAGTCAGAGTCTTAGGTCCCTCAGTCGAGTCTTTAGGTCCCTCAGTCGAGTCTTTAGGTCCCTCAGTCAAGTCTTTAGGTCCCTCAGTCTGAGTGTGGAGTACCTTTGAGTGTCCAGGTTCTCCTGAGCAGGATCCTGGCTCAGATCTGGAGAAGGTCCAAACAGAGACTCCTGACCTCCACTAAAAACACAGATTTGAGATTTTCAGTCCAGGGTCCAGTGAGGAGCCACGGCTCCAAGTCTCATCCCATTTTCTTCAAGGATGAACATTCAGCCAATCAGAGGCGAGAATGGACAGGACCTTCATCTTTTTGTCTCACTAATATAAGACGAGTCTCTGCTGAGACTCACATGAGCAAAGGACGATGTAAAAACATCCTCCTCAGAGTCTGCAAATCTGATCTTTACTCAAAATCAATCACCTCGTTCCCACGCACTGTCAGAAGAGTTCTGATGGTTTCCAAAGATCCAGCTGAGTTATGGATACTCCTGATTTAGTCTTTGTTTTGTCCTGGTTCAGTCCTGGTTTAGTCCAGGTTTAGTCCTGTTTAAGTCCGGGTTCAGTCCTGGTTTAGTCCTGGTTTAGTCCTAGAATCACTGCTGGTAAAGTTGAGTGGCTCATTGATCATAAAGTCTCCATAACTACAACAGTTTTATCAGGAGGTTCATGTTGGTGCAGAGGAGCTCACAGAGGGAAGGTCCTGGGAACACTAACATGCTTTGTCTGTATCAAAAAGTCTTCACACTTTATGCTCTAAAAGGATCATTTTAAATGTTATTTTTGTTTTAAGCTCTGAGACAGACTCC